CACGTGTAAAAAGACGGCCAATCAGAGCTCCCGCCTGAGTTATAACTGACGACAGACATTTACAGATCTCAGTACGCATTTTTTTACACACACACACACACATGTGAATACAGACACACAAATCTTATCACAAACACACAAATGTGAATACAGACACACTGATTTTTTTACACACACACAAATGTGAATACAGACAGACAAATCTTATTACGCACACACAAATGTGAATACACACAAATGTGAATACACACAAATCTTATTACACACACACAGATTGAGATATGCACACACAAATAATATTGTCTCAATAATACCCCCATATAAGTCTTTGTAATTTTAACTATGAGTTACTCAAGGCTAGACAGCGACACTTCTGAAATTATTAATAAGAACATCAACAACACTATTTGCTATGGTTGATAAGCTGACAAACCCCCCTAAACAGATAGCTCCAGAACTCCTTTCCACAGCAAAATGCAATGAATTTGCTTGCTTTTTCAGTGAAAAAATCCAGTCCATAAGGTTAAATATTAACACAAATCAACAAAACAATAAAATAACGCAATCCCTAAGACCTCTCAGGAATAACTCAACTGCGATGTCAGAATTTAATACAGTTGACCAAAAAACCATAGAGGAAACAGTTCAGCATCTAAAACCATCAACATGCTGTCTTGACACAATGCCATCAGACTTTTTAAAAACTATTGTGAACTCTGTCCAAATAGATTTGCGACAAATACTAAATAGCTCACTTCAATCGGGCATGTTTCCTAAACCCCTAAAAGTAGCTGCCATTAAGCCACTCTTAAAAAAGAGAACGCTGGATGCTTCCATGTTAACCAACTACAGACCTATCTCAAATCTTCCTTTTATAGCCAAGATCGTTGAGAAAGTGGTTTTTAATCAACTCAGCAATTTCTTGAATTCCAGTGGCCTTTTTGACAAATTTCAATCAGGCTTCTGACCTCATCACAATACAGAAACAGCTCTTATTAGAGTGTTAAATGATATTAGGTTAAACACTGACTCAGGCAAGGTGTCAGTTCTGGTCCTGTTGGATCTTAGTGCTGCATTTGACACTGTGGATCACAGTATATTGTTGAACAGGTTGGAAACTTGGGCAGGACTCAGCGGAACAGTCCTGAAATGGTTCAGGTCCTACTTGGAAGAGTGGAGTTATTTTGTGACCATTGGAAGTTATGAATCCAATTGAATGGCTAATTTAATTTTTTGAAGTAAATCTTTGTGTTTGAGACATTCTTTTCAAGCTAAGTTGTTAAGGTCATATTAAATATTGTCCTACTCTTTACAGTATTGTCAGGGTTAATGAACAAAATAATTATGTTTTAGAACATAGGTTCCCAGATACAGTGATTTCCTTCTCACGTCACTGAATTCATCATTAACTATTCACCTGAACAGTTTATGATGTTGTATATGGTATCATTGTAGTCCTTGACCATCAAAACATAGGGGTAGACATCACCTTTTCTGTGTTATCATGTATGGTTCAGGAGATATGATGCAAAATACACAATTTGGTTATGGCGGAAAGTAAAATGGCCGCCACAGGGCGTTTTTGCGATGGCTCCATGTCTGAAAATGTTCGGGGCCCCAAACTGTACACGTGTACCAAGTTTCATGCTTTTATGAAAAAGTGAACATAATTTTCACATATCACCTGGACTATTATAAAATAACTTATGTTTTTCAAGGAGATCACGTACCTGTGCAGAGGTGATGATGTCCTGATCACTTCTCCCCTTTGGTGGCATGATGCAGGAAAGTGGGCTGCCTGGGCCTAGCCTAGCCTGTTGGAGCTAGCCTAGCCTGTTGGAGCTAGCCTAGCTTGTCTGGCCTGCTAATGGTAGCTGGCTGCTGCTGGGCCTGATGGTAGCTGGCTGCTGCTGGGCCTGGTGGTTGCTGGCTGCTGATGGTAGCTGGCTGCTGCTGGGCCTAATGGTAGCTGACTGCTGCTGGGCCTGATGGTAGCTAGCTGCTGATGGTAGCTGGCTGCTGATGGTAGCTAGCTGCTGATGGTAGCTGGCTGCTGCTGGGCCTGATAGTAGCTGGCTGCTGATGGTAGCTGGCTGCTGCTACTAGCTGCTGATGGTAGCTGGCAGCTGCTGGGCCTGATGGTAGCTGGCTGCTGCTGGGCCTGATGGTAGCTAGCTGCTGGGCCTAGCTGCAGGGCCTGGTAGAAGCCAGTTGCTAAAAGCTAGCAGGCAAACCAGCAAGGCTGATTGAAGATAGCAAGAAACTCAATCCACCAAAAATCCAAAATGTGAGAACCATGAGTTTAAAAGAGAGTGCACCTCTCACTGTGGATTTGTAATAATATTGCCTAAAGGGAGCATATATAAAGTAAATAGTATTGGTCCAAGTACAGAACCTTGTGGAACTCCATGACTAACTGTAGTATTGATTGAAGATTCATTGTTAACATGTACAAACTGTGAACGATCTGATAAATAGGACCTAAACCAGCTTAGTGCGGTTCCTTTAATGCCAATTTGATGCTCGAGTCTCTGTAAAATAATATTATGATCAATGGTGTCAAATGCAGCACTAAGATCTAATAATACAAGTACAGAGACAAGTCCATTGTCAGAAGCAATCAAAAGGTCATTATTAACTTTAACCAGAGCTGTCTCTGTGCTATGATGAACTCTAAATCCTGACTGGAAATCCTCAAATAAACTATTGTTATGTAGAAAGTCACAATTGTTTGGCAACTACTTTCTCCAGAATCTTAGACAGAAAGGGGAGATTAGAAATCGGTCTATAGTTGGCTAAAACCCCTGGGTCAAGAGTGGGCTTTTTAAGAAGGGGTTTAATTACAGCTACTTTAAATGACTGTGGTACATATCCTGATAATAAAGAAAGATTAATCATATCCAGTAAAGAAGTGCCAATTAAGGGTACAACTTCTTTAAGCAGCGTAGTTGGGATGGGGTCTAGACAGGTTGATGTCTTGAATGAATTGATGAATTATAGAAGTTAACTGATGAAGACTGACAGCAGAAAAACACTCCAAATACACATCTGAGGTTGCACCAGTCAAAGTGTCTGATGTTGGAGAGCCTGCGATACCTATTGAGGGCATTTGGTGACTAATTGTCTCTCTAATAGTAATAATGTTATTATAAAAGAAGTTCATGAAGTCATTGCTACTTAAGTTTATGGGGATACATGGCTCAATAGAGCTGTGACTCTCTGTCAGCCTGGCTACAGTGCTGAAGAGGAACCTAGGGTTGTTCTTATTTTCTTCTATTAGTGCTGAGTAAAAGGCTCCTCTGGCATTACGGAGGGCCTTTCTATAATTTTTAAGATTATTTTGCCCAATTAAGCGATTTTCAAATAATTTCGAAGTGCGCCATTTCCTTTCTGATTTCCTTGTTTCTTGTTTTAATTGAAAAGTTTGTTGGTTGTACCACGGTGCTAGTTTCCTATGTTTTAGAATAGAATCTAATGTTGATTATAGAGAGCCTACAGCACTATTAACAAGATTATCAATTTGGGAGTGACTGAAGTTAATATAGGACTGTTATATTCAGATATGGCATTGAATTAAACACTGATGGAATCTCCTCCTTAAATTTAGCTACAGCACTGTCAGATAGGCATCTGCTGTAGGAAGTTTTGCTCAATGGCTTATAATCTAATAATAGAAATTCAAAAGTTATTAAATAATGGTCAGATAGGAGAGGATTATGTGGAAAAACTATTAAATGTTCAATATCTATGCCATATGATAGAACAAGGTCAAGAGTGTGATTAAAACAATGGGTTGGTTTATTTACACTCTGACAGAAGCCAATTGAGTCTATTAATGAAGTAAATGCGTTACTCAGGCTGTCATTTGTAACATCCACATGGATATTAAAATCACCTACAATAATTACTTTATCTGATTTAAGAACTAAACTTGATAGAAACTCTGAGAATTCAGATATAAAATCAGAGTACGGTCTAGGAGCGCGGTACACTATAACAAATAGGACTGGCTGCAGTGTTTTCCAGTTTGGGTGAGAAAGACCAAGAACAATGCTTTCAAATGAATTATAATTTAGTTTTGGTTTAGGGTCCATTAAAACGCTCGAATCATATATAGCTGCTACTCCACCTCCTCGGCCTGTGCCTCGGGGAATGTGAGTATTAATATGACTGGGGGGGTGGATTCATTTAGGCTAACATAATCCTCATGGGACAACCAGGTCTCAGTAAGACAACGCAAATCAATATTATAATCTGATATTAATTCATTCACTAAAACAGCTTTGGAGGACAGACCTGATATTTAACAGTCCACATTTCATTCTTTTATGTTGTGCTACTGAGGAGTTGCTTTTAATTTTTATTAGGTTTTCATGGTTAACTCCTCTTGTTTTTATTTCTTTAAATAATGTAGGTGGTCGGGGGACAGACACAGTCTCTATGGAGTTGTGGGTGGGTGACTGTACTCGAGGAAGTGCAGAGAAGTGTGTAAGACAGCAACTCTGCTTCCTGGTCCCAACTCTGGACTGTCAGGTTTTAGAAATAAACTGTATCACATATCTTAACATGTATTTAAGTTTAGACATAACATAACATGTATTTAGGTTTAGAAATTAAGAAAGCTGTTCGCGTTTAGATTCCATTGGTTTTCGAACGTCAAACAAAGCTGTAATCTGATTGGTCACCATCAAGCGGGTCAAAGTTGAAATTGTTCAAACTTTGAAGGTGGAGAATCCGACCTGTCCTGTCTACGCCCAGGGTAGCATTGGGCTTCACCGCTCAACTCCATAGGAACACATTGGTAATGCTATCCTGAAAGCTCTTAGCCTAAGCTGACCATTAGCCTATCCCGAGCTTCACTTGTAAGGTGCTTTGTATAACAGCAACTTCTAAATGACTACAGACTTTCCCACTGGTACAGTTCAAATAATATAGGATATGCCATTTGGTGGCATTTGGTCTTCTTGCAACACCATGACTGCATACAGTCTTGGCATGGGTGGAGCCAGTTGGAATGGAACCCCTAAGCCTGGCCTTGTTAAGGCCATGCTCTACCAGCTGAGTTCGACAGGACCACTAGACCATAACTAGACTGTAACTAGACTATAACTAGACTATAACTAGACTATGACTAGACTATAACTAGCGGTACATATACCTAGCAGTTATACCTAGCCCTGTCTCCAAACGAATTTGCTCCCCTTGAATCCCTTTACCACTGCCTTAATCAAGTTCAAGACTGGATGTCTAAAAACCTTCTCAAACTAAACACAGACAAAACTGAGGTTATTATTTTTGGGAAAAAGGATCAGCGACTAAAGACTGCCACACTATTGGGAAAGAAAGGTTTTGAGGCGGCAGAAACTGTGAAGAACCTTGGGGTCATTATTGACAGCGACCTAAGCTTCAATAGCCATATGAAGGCAGTTTCAAAATCGGCTTTTTATCACTTAAAAAACATTGTGAAGGTTAAAAACTTCATATCACCGGTAGACCAGGGGTCCGTTTCACAAAGCAGGTTTAGTGAAAACCCTGGGTTTATTAACCCTGAAATGAGGGAAACGCTGAGTTTTCCGTTTCACAAAGGGAGGTAACTCAAACCAGAGAAAGAGGGGTAACTCTAGCCTGTTTCACAGAGAGAGATAACTTACGCTCTCGGTCAGTTACCGTAGTAACAGACTCTATGAACCTAACCTGGTTGGGACCAGGTTTTTCTCAATGGACCTCGAGGTTCAATCTGTCTCCGCCCTCTTTCAGCCACACACGCCATTTGATTTCCTCATTCATTCAGTCAGCAGGCGAGTTTAGGCGTAGCCGTCTGTCAAAAATCATTTAAAAAATCAGAGTCAGTATATTTCAGAAGTCCATTAGGCACAGTAGGAGGCGACTTTTTTCATGAACATGGCATGTCCTTTTGACCAGCGCTCGAAGTGGAAAACAATAAGTGCCGGTACTCCCTTATTCACATATAAGCGACGGGGGGGGGGGGGGGGGGGTTCGTAACCCACCCTGGACCTACGACCGACGGGGGGGGGAGGGGGGGGGGGGCGCGATCGTAACCCACCGCGGACCTACGACCGACGGGGGGGGGGCGCGCCACTCTGGTAGATCCGCCCCCGCCCCTACGCTAAAGGGTAAAATGTAGAAGTGAGTACCGGCCCACTTCGAGCACTGCTTTTGACAACGATCCCGTGGATGACGGTGCAGCATTACTGCGCAGATAATTAAATATTCGTCGGGAGAGGGTTCGCGCATAGATGTAGCCTTTCCAGACAATTATCATTTCCAGACAATTATCTTTTTCAGCGGTACCGTTTCACGTCACAGTCCATCATTTACATACACAACCTAATCCGTCCTTACATTTGCAACATTACCAACCGTAGTCATGCTCTCACATCCCAGCAGATAGTGTGTGTTGCACTGCGTTTCTTTGCAAATGGATGTTTTTTGTACAATGTCGGAGATGCAGAGCACTTGAGCAAGGTAACTGTATACAGTCAAATAGCCACTTAAAATTTACTTTACAGTGTAAAACATGATCAAAATGATCATGCCGAGGTCTTATCTGTTTGAACAATGTTTTTATATGTCATCTTAAGCTGCTGCCAAGTGCGCTTCTCCCCCGCAGGATTGCACCTAAATGAAATAAATGAATAGGCTACCATTCAAGCAGTTTTCCCCTGCAATATTATTGTGATCGCAAAGGACTACATTTAAACTTAGGCAGCAGTGTTGCACTTCTTTCTAAAAACGTGTTGAAACTCGCCATATAAGCGCATTAGGATTTCCAATTCGAGGTTGGTGAAAAACGTAGACCTCCTCTTCCCCGTTGCCATGGTGACTTGTCGAATCGGGGCTCCATTGATGCTGGCTTTTTATAGTTGTGGTGCACGCGCTCAACCCTAGGTGGAACTCCTCTGAGTTGATCAAATTAATTCAAATCCGCTGTTCTGGAACCGAAAACCCAGAGTTTTCTATTTCAGAGTAGATCAACTCAGCGTTTAGGATTAGACTCAGAGGTTGTTGAACCTGCTTTGTGAAACGGACCCCTGGAAAAACTATTCACGCTTTCATCACCAGCAGGGTGGATTACTGTAATGGTCTCTTCACTGGTCTCCCTAAAAACCAATAAAACCTCTTCAAACGATACAAAACGCAGCAGCAAGGCTATTGACCAGAACCAAAAGAAAAGATCATATCACACCAATTTTAAAATCCCTACACTGGCTACCAGTGACCTACAGAATTGATTTTAAAGTCATTTTACTTGCTTTTAAATCACTAAATGGCCAAGGCCCTCTTTATATAGCAGAGATGTTTAAAACATATAGCCCCTCAAGATCACTCAGATCAGCAGAAAAACTTCAACTGGTACAACCCAGCGCCCACACCAAGCAGGGAAAGGCAGCCTTTAGTTGCTATGCGGTCAGTTTCTGGAACCGTCTTCCTATAGACATCAAGACCTCTCTCACCATCCCCATTTTTAAATCCAGACTAAAAACCAAACTTTTCCACGATGCCTTCCACTAACCCACTCTTGCACCCGTGGTCTGTTAGCTTTCATGTTTTTATCTGTGCTGTGTTTTGCTTTTATTCATTTGTTTTGTAATTATTTATTTAGCTTTTGTCATTTTTGTGTACTATGTTCCCTGTGAATTCCCATGCTTTCATTTTTATTCAAATCATTTTAACTATTTTAATCGATTTGACCTCTTATGACATGACATTTTAGATATTTTAATATGTGATTGTTATGATTATGTGAAGCACATTGGGCTACCGTTCTGTGTATGAAATGGGTTACAATAAAACATGACTTGACTTGACTTGACATATAAGTAGCTTGCAATTGGTAGACCATGTTGGTGTCTGAAGCTACATGAAACATGCACGCACGCATGGATGGACGGACACACACACACACACACACACACACAAAACCACAATCAGCCACAGCTACGCTTGTGTTCAAATTGATAATGAAGACAGAACATAACTGTTTTTACAGGTTTTAGTAATTTGGTTCATTTTAATAACTTTAAGAACTGTTTGTTTGTGTGTCTCAGATCACATCTAAGGGGAGCAGCAAGTCGTCAGAGAGCAGATTCCCTCCCATCAAATCCGAGAACACCAAGAGAAAGATCAGTGAGTATCACATTAATAGGAACATGGTGGATTGAAAGCAGAAAATCACTTAATAGTAACTTAAAACAATTTGGCCGGTTTGCTAAGACCCCAGGTTAATAGTTGACATTGTCTATGTCGAGATGTAAATCAGCCTTCATTTTTGTTCAACTCAATCCCTGTCGTGTACGTGTGTTCTGAAATTGGGCAGTTGATGAGCCGTTGACATCCATTGCATTCCAGTTGAGTGTTTAGCAGCTCCAATAGCTGTATCTTTGTTTTTTTTGTCCAACACAAGTAAGCACATACGAACTGCCCTGGCTAGGTAGTTTTCTCCAATAGTGCCCACAAACGAACAAATCCACAAGTTTCGATTGTGTGTTTACACGCCACTGTACACGGTCATGGACTTAGAGACTGAGCTGTGCGCAGTTAGAATTCTGAGTGAACATAGTGGCTGTATGTTAGGCTACCAACTGAACACTGTATTAAGAATTCAGCAATTCCCTTATTTCACAATGTGGACCCATTCGGCTGTAGTTGTACGAACCAGAGTAGCCTACTCTGCAGAAGAAATAGAAATCAGACGGGCGGAGAGGGTTTTGATTGAGGAAGCATACGGGTGAACACAACATAAATCAATTCGCTGGGACAGTCAGTGGAAAAAGTGAAATTTGTGTTCAGTTGACAGACTTGTTCTATGTACATTCATACAACCGGGAACTGAGCACTTAATTTTGATTCAGAAGTGAATGCTTAGGCTGCATTCCAATATTATTATTTCCTTCCTTTTAAAATGAATCTGTGGAGGTCTTGAGGTCCACTGCTGGAATATACACTCTTCATCTGTGTGTGTGTGTGTGTGTGTGTGTCTGTAGCCGACTTTGAGCTGGCTCAGCTGCAGGAGAGGCTGAGGGAGACGGAGCAGGTGATGGAGAACATTGTGTCGGATGTCAATCATGGTCCACACAGGTGATCCTCAGATCCATCCCATAGCTCACTGCCTGGTCTTTCACAAAAATAATTGAGTTATTATGACAAAAATGCAGGTTAGAAACTCTTGAAGAAGTGTGGTACTTTTCCTCCAATGAGCACATCTGAATGTTGAGCTGCAGGCGATACTGCAATGACTTCATACCTAAACTCTGAGGCTTTTCTCCTACACATTCACCAAGCTTATATATATATATATAGGGGCTTTCATTTCAATGAAAATATCCCATTAGTATACTGATATGTTCAACAAACTGGATTGGGCTCTACCTTGGAACACATTGAGCCTCATGCAAGAACTGTATGCACAGATTTGTGCTTAAATCATGCGTACAAGTGTTTTAAGAACAAGAGAACTTCTCGCATTCCCCAAAATCCTTGTATTGGAATTTTCTCTTAGGTACATCAATTATGCTAATTAAGATTATCTGGTGGGTTTCATCATGTTTACACACCATTTAGGACAATTTCATGTATTTACGAGCGTTTGCTGAATCTGACGTGGCAGATTTATAGTTGTACGTACGCACAAAAGAACGATCAAGTTAAGAGAAAAATATGCAAATGTTCTTGCATGAGGCTTAATGTGTTGTTTTGAGAGCTCTGTGTGCTTGCTCCTCCTCCTCCTCCTCCTCCTCCTGGCAGGGTGAAGGGGGTGAGTGCTGACCAGGAGGAGAACCTGCTCCTTCAGCTGAGGGAGATCACCAGGGCCATGCAGGAGGGCCATCTGAGGGAGGTGGCTCCACGGAAGACAGACCACCACCACCACCACTCCGAAGGTAGAGCTAACTCCCATCAGGGAACCAGTGTTGTTTTTGGCGGCCTGTTTTCATTTTAGTTTTAGTCTAGTCTTTGTGTCAAACTGTCATTTTAGTCTTTATTAGTTTTAGTCACTTTATACTCTTTTTAGTCTAGTCAAGTTTCATTCGACTAAAAGTCTGAGCATTTTAGTCTT